AACCGGCGGGAGTTCGGATTCCCGTCACGGTTTCTTGGGGGTAGTGTCCCCGCTCCCGGGCGATCGACCTCCGCGGCTTCGGGCCCGGGGGGCTCCTGCGAGGGGCTGACCGCAGTGTTGCCGGCGGGCGCTGCGGTTAAAGATGCTACCGTCAGGATTGGAGGAGCGATAGGTAGTCAGGAGGCAAACTTAGGAGATTGCGTGCCCCCTATGTCAGTGGGAGTGGAGGAGTTGGTAACCATGACTCCTAAAAGGAAGGAGTTGCGTCTTTGCATCTACCGTCTGGAGACTGGTGAGATGGCTGCGGGTTCCTCTTCTGGGAACTCGGTGATACTGAGTTCATCGTTCAAGAGAAGAGAATTGAGAGCTAGAAGAGGACCACGTATCGTCGATGTTAAGAAATACCCTAAGGAGATGCGAATAAGAGTGGTTGGTGGAGAAACTGTAAATTCTCCCGTTGCCGAAAGTGTATCAACAAGCACGACGACCAAGGAAGGAATAATAAAGGACGTGGGTGTGGTGGATTTAACCCAACATCCTTCTAGTGACGATAGAATGGAAACGGATGGTTCCGATTCGCAGGTTGGAAGCTATTTGTTCGCTTCAACGACGGGAGAGGATCTTACGTCTTCGTTCGAAAAAATCCCTAAAAAGGGGAAGAAGAGGGGAAGAAAGCCAAAGGGGAGTAATGTTCCGGAATCCCACGCTTTGTTCAAACTCTCGTACAGAAGCGTGGACTTTGAGGATGAGTTGGACAGAAAGGATTTCTTCAGAATCAGGTAAAGCAGCGGACACAAACTGAAAAGAAGGAAGGGTCTTTGTGAAGGTGGAATGTAACCTGGACGACAGACTCTCTTCCCGTCAAAAGGATGCGGTTGAGGAGGTTGTGTATCTCTTTCCGCAGATGTTGCCTAAAACTATCATGGCTGAAACTCTGCGGGTACTTGAGATTGCAGGCGAAGCCGAAAAAAGAACCCAAACGATGAAGGGTGACCTGAGGCGACAAATAATAGTAGGCGTGAATGTGGCGGAAGTTGCTGTGCGATCACTGGTTTCAGACATTATGAAGTGCTCGGGACCAACGGACGAAGTGAAAGCAAACAACCTAGCCCTGGAAAGGGAGGTTGTGAAGCTTCGACGCGAGATGAACATTTTGAGACACGAAAAAATGACTCTGAGGGACCAAGTGGAATCTTTAAGACAAACGGTGCAAGACTTAAGGGACAAAGGTGATGGGCGTGATCGCGGGAGATATAATATCTCCTCATCCGACGAGGAGCCTCCGCGTGATTTCTCCTTGCCTCGACGCTCTCGCACGCGGGATGAGCGTTTAGTACGCCGTCGGGATTTAACGGCAGATGATACTCGAATACCGGAGGAGGGTGACCTTCCTCCGGTATATAGGCCGACTCTTGATGGCATTCGCAAAAGACTCGAAGACTGGCCGGCTCTGCCAACAAGAGTGGAAGCCGGTAAAATTATCGCGGACAAATCTCGTACTGAATCGCAAGGTTTGACGGAACCTCGAAAGGTCAGGCCGGATGTTGATACGACATGTGATATCGGATGTGTGACTAAAGGTGTTCAATACTCGGAACCTCTGAATCTGGAATATCCAGAAGACGGTGAAGCGTGGATAAGAGATTAGTCCAAAAGTGCGCGAAAGAAAGACAGGAAAAAGAGGAAAAAGTTAGAGAGAGTAACTCCTAGTGCTGGTGTCGTGACTACAGACGGGGGAATGGGCTCAGAGTTTGGGCCTCCTCCCTTGGCAAAGACTAGAAGGGCTGTTGCAAGCAAAACATTAGTGAGTAACATGTCAAAGCTCGGTGCGCGCGGTAGAGCTTTGACAAATTCCGTCAGTGCGTCTCGTCCTTCTAAGAAGAACTCGAGTGCTGTGCCACGACACTCAGCTGCAAAAGATGTTCGCTTTCGCGCTCCGAGGACGGCAGCTGTGTTAGTGAAGTGCAAGAAAACGGAGGATAAATCGGGTCCTTCGTACGCTGATGTGATGAAGTTGGCGAGAGGGAAGATCTCTCTGGAAGACTTGAATATCGCCGATACTCGCATTAGGAAGGCGCAGACAGGAGGACTGCTCATTGAGATCCCGGGCGGTGAAGAGGCTGGACCGAAGGCCGAGGCGCTAGTGGACAGACTCAAGGAGGTATTGGCCGGCAGTGAATACAAAGAGGTTAGTATAATTAGACCTGTAAGACGCGCGGAAATCAGACTAACCGATACAGATCAGTCTGTCTCGGCTGAAGTGGCCACAGCGGTGGCAAATTGCGGCCAAATTTCCCCGTCGGACGTTAGGATTGGACCTTTCAGGCCAGGACGCGGGGGATTGAATGCGGTGTCCTCTTCATTGCGCAAATAAAATTATAAGTGCTGGCCGGTTAAGACTAGGCTGGTCTTCAGCTAGAGTTGTACCTCTTGCTAAAAGAAGGCTACAGTGTTTCCGTTGCTACGCGGTAAGACACAGAGAGAGTCAATTGTCAAAGCCAGGTGAATCGATCCACCTGGTGTTTCAATTGTGGACGATGGGCATCGAACAACCGAATGTCGGCGCCCATCTAAGTGTCGGGTTTGCGCTTTGCGGGGCCTGGCTTATGGCCATCGGGCTGGTGCACCAGAATATACGCCCTACAATGGATGAAGACAAAGACCTAACAGTAATTCGCGAGAAAATGTAGTTGTTGCTTCTGTCGAGACCAATCGGGGGGGTCTCAGATAATATAGAAGGCTCAATGATGGAAATCTGTGATGGCTAAATTGGGCCAAATAAACGTCAACAGGTCGAGACCATCACAAGATCTGGTCGCAAAGGTGAGTGAGGGGCTGGACTTGGAGTTGGTTGCAATCTCGGAGCCCAGCCGTATCCCCGAAAACGGCCAATGGCTGGTCTCTACAGACAATTCGCCCTCTGCTGCTCTTACGTGGCAATGGGGCCACTCGGATGTACCATGCTCTCCTCGTTGAAGAGGAAGGAGATTCGCGGCGGTGGACTGGGGAAAAGTGATAGTTGTGTCGTGCTACTTTCCTCCAAGTCTCAGCGATGCTGAGTTTATGCGTGATCTTCGAGAATTAGAGGACAAACTATTAGATGTGACTGAACATTTCGTTGTAATCACGGGTGATTTTAATGCCCGTGCTCCTGCATGGGACCTAATAGGAGAGGGATGGATCTAATAGGAGAGGGAAACTGTTAATCGATTGGCTGGGACTTATAGACTTTCAGCTCATAAACACCCTTGAGGTGCATCGTGTGTAGATCTTACGTTGGCTTCTCCCTCAGCGGCAAGAAAGATTGTATCGTGGAATGTCGAAACAGAAGTGGAATCCCTCTCAGACCACAGGTATGTGAGTATGGAAGTGAGAAGAATGCTAACGGAACCCGCAACTGGGAAAACGGCCATTAAGGCCTTTCCCAGATGGATCACTAGCAAGATGGACTCGGATAAGATGGAAGCAGCAGCAATCTTTGTAGCTTGGAGTAGTAGTCATATGGCAGGAGAAGAGTATCTGACCAGACGCTTAGATCAAGCAATGCGGGACATCTCTGACGTATTGATGCCGAGAAGGGGATCTTCTAAGCGACCAACGATTTATTGGTGGAACCAAGAGATCGCTGAACTTCGCCATACATGCAACGGGTGCAGGAGGCGGTTGATGCGAGCGCGATCAAGAAGGGGATTCCCTCCTAATGAAATACAGGGGCTATGGGACGAGTTGCCTGAAACGAGACGTAATCTGAGAAAGGCCATTAACAAATCCAAGACTAAAATGTGGAAGGAACTTGTAGATGATTTAGATAGGGATCCCTGGGGAACTATGTATCGGACAGTACTCAAGAAACTATACTCGGGCGGCGCTTCTATAGTACAAGTCCTTCCCCCTGAGATTGTCGGTGAAATTGTCACAAATCTCCTTCCTACGGACTCTTCCCCGCAGAACACTGAGATGGAATTTGATTGGCAAGAAGATCTTTCAGTTACTTCCGTTGAAATTCTGAAAGCTGGAGAGAAAATAAATTCCGGAAAGGCCCCAGGCCCAGATGGTATTGCGGGGACATTAGTTAAAAATACTATGAACTACCTTGCCCCATCGTGGGCGAGATGCTTCACCGAGTGTTTCAGGGAGGGGCACTTTCCCCGCCAATGGAAGAGGGCCAGATTGGTGCTTCTCAAGAAACCCGACAAATCGGATCTCTCCCCGTCGTCGTACAGGCCTATATGCCTGTTGAGCGAGGTGGGGAAATTATTAGAGAGGGTAATCGTTAGTAGACTACAAATACATTTAGACGAATCTGACGGTATAGCGAGTGGCCAGTTCGGCTTTCGTAGATATCGATCGACAGTTGATGCGATGTGGAGTCTTAGAGAGCGAGTTGGAGACTGTATGCGAGATGGGGGGATGGCTGTTGCAGTATCTCTCGATATAGCAAATGCGTTTAATTCCCTTCCGTGGCCGGTGATCAAACACGCTTTGGAGGAGAAGGGGGTATCGGCACATCTCCGAGGTATCCTATATAATTATTTATCGGATCGTGGTTTATCTTATGTGGACAGATGGGATCGGCTAACGCATAGACAAATGTCGTGTGGGATTCCACAAGGATCGGTTCTCGGACCGACTCTGTGGAACATAGGATACGATTCCATTCTCAGACTGCAACTGTCGACCGGGTGCTCAGTCATCTGTTACGCGGACGATACGTTGATGGTTACCTGTGCTGTTAGTTAAGAGGAGGCACGAGTGAGAGCGGAACTTGGAGCTACTTTCGTAGTACGCTCCATTGAGAGATTAGGTCTCAAGGTATCGTTAGCTAAAACCAAAGCGGTAGCATTTATAGCAGATGATGTGCCGGGGGGTACTACAATTCGCATGGAGGGGAAACGGTCCTGATTGGGTCTACTGTGAAATACTTGGGTTTAACCCTTGATTTGCGGTGGACCTTCCGGGCTCACTTCCGCCTCCTTATGCCAAAGGCCTGGAGAATAGCGATGTCTCTAGCGCGTATCACGGCCAACATTGACGGCCTGGGCGAACGTAGACGTAGGATGTACGCGACTGTTGTTATGTCAGTACTTATGTACGGGGCCCCTATCTGGGCGCAAACAGTTGCTGATGACAGACGCATACTGACCGATGTGCGTAAGCTGCGGCAGCTAGCATTAAGGATGATCCGGGGATACCGCACTGTTTCACATGAAGCGGCTGCTGTACTATCGGGAATTGTTCCCTTCGATTTGGCGGCGGATCGATTAAGATCATATCTCAAAAGAAGAGAGATCATCGCGCGGGACGATGTGATAGTCCCGAACGTGAGCGCGATGCTAATAGAGGTTCAGCGTCGTAAAGCGATTTCTAAGTGGAGTGAACGTCTGGCTGAACTGCCACCGAGTGGTCCTGGATCGATGGTTCGTCGCGCGCTTGTCGATCATCTGGACGAGTGGATAGGGAGGACGCATGGAGCACTCACGTACCGAATCACTCAGGTAATAACAGGAGAGTGGCACCCAGTTGGACACGGCTCAATTGGACACGAGCCACTCACAGCGCTTGAGACTACAAAGTTCCTAAGCACCGGTCGCTGTGATTGGTGGTGTCCAATCGAGACGTGGTCAATCGGGATCACCCCTAACAGGACATGGTGTCTTTGAATCTTATTTGTATAAAATCAACCGCAGGGCATCTCCAATATGCCTCTTCTGCCGGGCTACAACGGATACTGCGGAGCATACCCTTCTGTTCTGTCCATCTTGGGTAGAGCAGAGGGAGGAGCTACTGCGTATAATTGGGGTGAATAGAACTTACGGAGCGGTGGTGAGGGCCGTTATGCGTTCTCGAGAAGCGTGGGATATATTCGCAGATTTCTGCGAAGTGGTAATGCGTAGAAAAGAGGAGGACGAACGGTCCCGCGAACGCGGACTTGTTCTGTTATCGGGGGCGGATGCTCCTCCTCCTCCTCCCATTGCAGATTCTGATGAGGAATCATAGTTGATCGGCTGGCAAGTGCGCAGACGCTTGTGTGATGCATGTGTTGGGGCAACCCGATGTTATACTAGATTGTGGTTCCGGGCTGTCCCCCATAGGGGAAAACTCCCCCTTTTTACGTACCCCTTTTACAGGTTACTGCGGTAATACGTAAAAAGGGGAGAGTTTTTAGTCGGTAGGCGGCCGCTTCGGTGTATCCGTAAGGATTACGGAGCGGTTGAATCCGGCACTCCCAGAGGTACGGGCCTCTGGGGGTCTTCCCGCGCCCGAGAGTTGGGTCTGACCGGTTAGGTCCCCTTCGGGGATATATCAATGGATGAATCGATGAGTACAAGAAGGAACTCAGATGATCCACCGGAGAAAAAGGTCGGTAAAGATATTACGAAATCGCCATCTGGGAGGAGGATCACTAAGGGCTCATCTTATCAAACAACCGGCCTCTACGCTGGACGGGCGGAGGCCGTGAGACAGTTGAACGAAGAAAAGGATAAAAGCCTTCAACTGGAGAGAAATGCTCACCTTAGAAAGCTTGGCATGACTGAACTTCTCAGTAAAACTAAAATAGATTTGGAGAAAATTAAGGATAATATGGAGGACGATGCGAGTGAGGACCTGGGGAACAAAGTTAGTGAATGCCTCATGGAAGTTATTCGCATTGCACGTACCTCAAAAAATCTAAAAGGAACATACCAGAGATACCTTAAACAAGCTGCGGCGACTACAATGGGTTATATAGAAATATTGAAGGATAGAGCCGTTAAAAATCAGAAGGGTACAAACGATGAGGAAATTCGAACTCTAAGGAAGAAGATTACAGCTCTCAAGACAAAGTTGGAGAGTGAGATTGAAAAGGAGAGGAAGAAAGCGCTGGAAGTGGAGATCAAGGTGGAGGCGTATCTTCAAGAACTGACCAAATTCAGGAGGGAACAAGCGCAGAAAAGAGTAGATAAACACGTTCTTTCTTCCCCTTCCCCTCTAGGCAGAACAATACGGGGGATAAGGAGAACAAATTCCGTGCTACGAGGACAAGTACCCGCATAGAGGAAAGAGCCTCAGCTTCGGACACGGGTATGGAGGTGGATGAAGTCCGGGATGATGAGCCAAAGGAGAAAGCAATTTTCCCACCTCCAGAACAATGGCCTCCCGCGATCAGACCAGCGATACAGAGAAAGTGTAGAATCCTCGAGAATAAGCCGGTAATGGGTCTCAAATACCGTTTAGTTCAGAAGCCCACTCCGAAGAATACGGAGAAAAGGAAAAAGAAAAAGAGAAGGAACGTGGAAAGACCCCAAGAGGACCTAACGGGTGCGAGAGCGAAGATGATTCGCGAGATTGTCGAGATTGTCAGACAGGAGCTAAAAGTGTCCCAGGAGATAAGGGACGCTGGGCCGTCCGACAAACGGAAAGTACGGTCACAGATACCTGCTAGGGAGGATGAGCGGACGGATGCGACTCGTAAGCGCTCAGCTCAGAGAAACGTAAAGGCCAAGGAGAAAACTTGGGCTCAAGTAGCAGGTCGTAGACAACGAAGAGACCAAAGACAACAACAACAGCTAAAAGCTGCCCCTCCGAGCTAGCGGAAGCTAACGATCAACGTAAGAAGCCCTACCCCTATCCCTATGGCTAAAGCGACGACAACTAGCCCTCGAACAGCTGCAATACAGATAAGTTGCAGAGGGGAAAGGAAATACGCGGAGGTATTAAAGGTTGCCAAAGCTCAAATAAACATCGATGAGCTCGGTATTACTGATATCCGACCGCGAAGAGCACGCACAGGAGCTCTACTGCTGGAAATCCTAGGGGCGAATGGTGCGACCAAAGCAGATGTCCTTGCCGGAAAGTTAAAGGAAATCATGACCGGGCAGGAAGAGGTCATGATTTCCAGACCGGAAAAGATGGCCGACGTAAGAGTAAGGGATATAGAAGAGTCTATATCCAGGGAGGACTTGATAGAAAAGATTTCGCAGGTAGGCAAGTGCAGTGTGGAGAAGATCAAAATGGGAGCAATTATCAAAGCTCTCAATGGATTGGGCACTGTATGGTTAAAATGCCTCCTCCGACTTGTCGTCGGAGCCATAACACAAACTCCAAGACTTCGCGTGGGATGGACCATGGTCCGTACTGAACTGATGCTGGCTAGGGCCTTACAATGTTTCAGGTGCCTAGAACGGGATCACGTAAAGGCTGAGTGTAGGGCCACTGTAGATAGAAGCAGCGGTTGCTACCGCTGTGGCAAGGAGGGGCACATGGCAAGGTTGTGCGCGGCCCCTGCTTTCTACGTAATCTGTGCCGACCGCGGCGTGAGGTCAAATCATCGCATGGGTGGTAGGGCGTGTAACCCTCTTCCAGCGCGGAAACGGCGCGCCCGGGCTGAGGACCCGACCAATCGGAACACTCGGCCGTTGGCGTAGACAACCGTCGATATGGATTCCCGGAAGGCTGGGGAAGAGTCGCGTTGCGGGGAGCTTGTAGCCCCCCAGTGTTAATGGAAGTGGAGCCTCTGAAGAAGGAGGCTCCTTTCACCAATCGCACCTTGGAATGGGCACAGGATGGCCAAAATTGGGATCACCCAAACACCAGCGTTTGTAGTGCCAGCACTACAAGGGATGCGGCGGGTACCGAACATGAAGAGGAAGTCATCAGCAGCAATGCCTAATAAATTATTACAGACTAATATCAATCACTTCCGCCATGGTCACAACATGCTCCTCCAGACCATGGCGGAGGGTGATTACGCGATCGCGATCATCTCGGAGCCCTATTGGGTTCCGGATGACAATCCCAATTGGGTGGCTAACGACGGGAGGTCGGTGGCCATCACTTGGTGAAGAGTGGTTAACACATTGCTTACCACGCCTCTAGAGAAGGGCGATAACTTTGTCGCGATCAGATGGGGGGATATGACTCTAATCGGGTGGCACCCAGTTGGACACGGCTCAATTGGACACGAGCCACTCACAGCGCTTGAGACTACACAATCGAGATCACCCCCTCTAATCGGGGTATACATGCCCCCTAGTCTTGACTTGGCGCAATTCGATAGGTCTCTTGCAGAGATTGAGAGATGCGCCGAAAAACATCAGACCTGTCTTCTTGGCGGGCGACTTCAACGCCAAGGCCGACCTGTGGAGCGCATCCAGCACGGATGCTAGGGGCAAATGCCTTTGGGATTGGGCCAGCGAGACTGGCAAGTGCTGTCTTAATTCTGGCAGGGTGAGTACCTGCGTCAGACCACAGGGCGAGCCAATAGTCGACATAACCTTTGCCAACGCGACAGCAGCTCCCAGGGTCGGAGCATGGAGAGTGGTCCCATATGAGACGTGTTCGGACCACCTCTACATCGAGGTCGTGCTGGGAGACACGGCTTCCCAAGTAAAAAAAAGGGGTCTTCCTCGTCCGCATGGGCGACCGCAAAAATGAACGAGGACATGTTCTGCGCGTCCGTAATCGTGGAGACATGGCCCAGCCCAGGCCTGATCGAGGAAGGATACCTAGAAACGATGGCTGCCCATTTACAGACGACCATGGTCCGAGCTTGTGACGTGGCGATGCCAAGAGCTGGATTCCGACCAAAAGGGCTATGCCTTGGTGGTTGGACGAGATCGCTCAGCTCAGAGCAAAGGTGACGGCAGCGAGGCGCCGACTAAAACGGTCACGTCGCCGAGCCAACCAGGATACCAGTGAGGTAACTGCAAGAATGGAGGAGCACCGCTAAGCCAGAAATTGCCTTGGAAAAGCTATCACTAAGGCGAAAAAGAAGACCTGGGGGGAATTTGTATTAACACTCAATGAGAACCCATTGGGTCGCCCATATCGAACAATACTGGGCAAGCTAAGAAGGTGGACCCCGCCTCATACGGAATCCATGGAGGCCCACGTTTTGGAGGCCGTGCTAACGGGCCGATTTCCTCCATCGGTTGGACAGTAGAACAGCCGAAATGAGTAGAGAGAACCGCCGTTACCTATAAACGGCCCGGTGCATGGAACGATGAACTAAGGGTCACGCCGGAAGAATTCTGTGTGACCAAGAAAATGGCTGAGAAGAGGGCCGCACCTGGACCCAGCGGGGTACCATCAAAAGCCTGGACGCTGGCCATCAGCGAAATCGGAGTGAGGATGCGAGACATGTTCACCGAATGCCTCAAAAAGGGAATCTTCCCGTCCACCTGGAAGGGGAGTGATCCCGATTGATCACGGCTCGATTGGACACCACCAATCACAGAGACCGGTGCTTAGGAGCTTTGTAGTCTCAAACGCTGTGAGTGGCTCGTGTCCAATTGAGCCGTGTCCAACTCGGTGCCAGCCCCTGGAAGGTGGTCAAATTGGTTTTATTACGGAAGGAAGGTAGACCCACGGACATAGCTACAGGCTACAGGCCTATTTGTTTAATTGACGACGAGACTAAACTCCTCGAAAGAATCGTCGCGGAGAGGATTACCAGACACCTGGCAGGGGCCCAAATCTGCACCCCAACCAGTTTGACTTCCGTCGTGGAAGGAGTACCATAGACGCTATACGATCTGTGCGACTAACAATGGAAAATGCGTTTCGAGATGGATGTGCGGTCATCGGAATTTCGATTGATATGAAAAACGCATTTAATTCCCTTCCATGGGACATGATTAGGAAGGCACTGAGAAAACACAATGTGCTCCTCTATCTAAGAAGGATGATTCGCGCATACCTCAGGCACAGATGTCTGTCATTCCCGGTAAGGAGCGGAAGAACGGAGACAAAGATAGTCGAGAGAGAGGTCCCGCAGGGCTCGGTTCTTGGCCCGCTGCTATGGAATCTGGGATTCGACGACGTGATGCTTCTCGCGGATGTCCCGGATGAGTGCTCGGTGATATGTTACGCGGATGACACGCTGATCCTGGCGGCGGGCGAGGACTGGGAAATTGCTCAAATTCGCGCGGACCAGGCTATTCTTGCGATCCTGGAGAGGATCGAGGAGCTTGGGCTGGAAGTGGAGGTGATCCCGATTGACCACGTCTCGATTGGACACCACCAATCACAGCGACCGGTGCTTAGGAGCTTTGTAGTCTCAAGCGCTGTGAGTGGCTCGTGTCCAATTGAGCCGTGTCCAACTGGGTGCCATCCCTGGAAGTGTCGCCAGGCAAGGCCGTGGCGGTCGGCTTCTATAATCGTGGCCGGCCTCCCCCCGCCGGAGCCGTTGTGATCGCAGCCGGGGTGGAAATTCGGGTTGGGGCCCAGATGAAATATTTGGGCCTCACACTCAATAGCAGATGGCGCTTCGAATCTCACTTCGCGGAAATTACGCGAAAAACGGAGAAGTCAGCTATGGCCCTCAGCGGGCCAAACCTGGGAGGACCCAATGGCCTGGTGAGACGACTGTACAGCAATGTGGTGAGCTCAATGACGCTGTACGGGGCGCCCGTCTGAGCCCCGTTTGTCCGCGGGAACAGGAAAGTCTAGAGAGTGCTACGTAGCGCCCAAAAAAGGATGACTGGCCGCATGATAAAGGCGTACCGCACGACGTCCCATGCGGTAAACACGGCTCTCGCGGGCATGCCGCCATTTGAACTGGTGGCATAGTCACAGCTGAAGGTATATGAGAGGATCCAAGAAATAAAGGAAGATGGAACAGGGATGTCGGCTGACACGGTCGAACACATAAAGCGAGTAGCGCGAAAGAGACTACTAGACAGATGGAAAGAGTGGCTTCCACATGGAGATGGTGGGATCCTTGAGGCATTGGGCCCCCAGTTGGAGAGATGGACGACGGAGCGCGTCGGGCTGACCTTCCATGCGACGCAGGTGCTGACTGGCCATGGCTGTTTTGGCCGATACCTGCGTCGCATTGGCAGGGAGAACAGTGAGCGGTGTTGGCACTGCGGCTTCTTACGACACAGCTAGCCACACCCTCCGCGAATGTCCTGCCTGGGCGGAAGAGAGAGGGCGTCTGGTAGATGTTATCGGGCCGGACCTGTCCTGGTCAGCCATTGTGGAGGCCTTGTACTGGAATACAGGCAGGGAAGTCTTCCTCTCCTTCTGCGGTATAGTGATGTCGCGGAAGGAAGAGGCCGAAAGGACGAGGGAAAGAATTCTCTCCAAAGAAGATGAGGACGCACAATAATAACGAGGGTCCATCTGAGGGTAGGAGACAGTCCAATAAGGGCCCCCTTCCTGACGCACCACGGAGACGAGAATCACGGGGAACCCTTCTTGCCTCCACCTCGTTGGTGCGTGAAGTTAGGTGGCGCGGGAGCGTAGTGGCACTCCCGTGCCAGTGGTTCTAGCCAAAAAGTTCGGATTGCACTACGGTGTGACTGGCGTGGGATCGAGCTGGATGTTCTGCAGTATCGAAGTTCCCAGCCCGATCCCAATATCGCTAGATACAGGCCACTCGTTGGGGTTTTAGTGGGTAGGCCCCGGACCGTCAGGTCTGGGGAGAGTCCCACATAACCCGTCTCCTCTCCCCAGAGGGGCGGGTATGCGTAACGCATTTCCCCAGCGTCGACAAAAAAAAGGCTAGGCTAAGTTAGTAAGTAGGAATATGTAAAGGGCAGTATATGTTTATAAAAATTGTAACCCCGAGGGGATCAATAAAGTTTATCTATTTATCTATTATTATAATATAATATTATATTATAATATAATATATAATATGTAATATAATGTAATAATATACAGGGTGAGTCACTTTAATAGATCACCCCAAATATTTCCGTTCTCTTACATTTTACAAGAAAATGTTTCAGACAAAAGTTGTATGGTTTCGAGGGGGACATAAGATGGTATCATTGGTTTGACCTTGGGTGGCGTTGTCAATGTCAGACGAAGGTCACATTAAATTTTTTAAACTGAACCTCCCATTTGTGATTACATATTCTTATAACTTACTTCGAGAGCTTTTCAAAACACTATAATAAAATATTTTTTCATTAAATGCTTTTCGAGTTATGAGGCTTGAAAGTCATAGTACGTACCGGAATTAGCATTACTCAAAATGTCCGACTGACGACTAAAATCTCTTGAATATTGTTCAGAATCACGACCTGGATAACATTGGTCTACATCAAGATCGTTGGAGGTTGTACCTCTTATTTTCATTTTTACGTAGAAATAAATTTTTGCAAAAGTGAAAATAAGAGGAACAATCTCCAATCACCTTGATCTTGACAAATATTATCCAGGTCCTGAACAACATTCAACAGATTGTAGCCGTCGGTCAGACAACTTGGATAATGCTAATGCCGGCACATACGATGACTTTCAAGCCTCATAACTCGAAAAGTATTTAATGAAAAAATATTTTATTATAGTGTTTTGAAAAGTTCTCGAGGTAAGCTACAAGAATATGTAATAAAAAATGGAGGGTTCTGTTTAAAAAATGTAATGTGATCCTCATCTGACCTTGACAACGCCATCCTAGGTCAAACCAATGATA